CTTTTGTGTTCTTCTTGTATGATGTGCTTGATGTCATCCCACATCTCTTCAAGTCTTTGATATTTAGTGTCTAATGCATAACATCTGTTCCTCAGATGATCTCTAAATTGTGGTGGGATATTTTCAAGATCAAATTTTGGCTCTGTGGACTTGTTTTAATTTTCTTTAGCTTTACCCTGAACTTACATATGAGCAATTGATGGTGTATTCCATGGTCTGCCCTTGGCCTTGTTTTGGCTGATGATTTGGAGGTTTTCCACCATCTCTTCCATAGATGTAGTGAATTTGATTTTGTGTATTCTGTCTGGTGAGGTCTATATGTATAGTCATCTTTTATGCTGTTTAAAAAAGGTATTTGCAATGAACAAGTCATTTGTCTTGCAAAATTCTATCGTGCAATTTCCAGCATTGTTTTTGTCACTAAGACCATAATTTCCAACTACTGATCCTTCCTCTTTCTTTCCCACCTTTGCATTCCAATTGCCAGCACTTATTAGTGCATCTTGGTTGCATGTTTCATCAATTTCAGACTGAAGAATTTGGTAGAATTCTTCAATTTCATTATCACTGACTTTAGTTGTTGGTACGTAAATTTGAATAATAGTGGTATTAGTTGGTCTTCCTTGTAGGCCTGTGAATATTATCCTATCACAGACAACATTATTCTTCAAGATAGATCTTGAAATGTCCTTTTTGTTGATGAATGCAGTGCCATTCCTTTTCAATTTGTCATTTCTGGCATAGTAAACAATATGATTGTCAGATTCAAAATGGTCAATACCAGTCAATTTTGGGTGTGTCACTGTAAGATAAGCACTAGACCACAAGGTCAGTTTGAACTGCAAGATTGGCAGTTCAAATCCACCAGTTTCTCCTTGGAAACCCTTTACAGGGTCACTATGAGTCCGAACCAACTGTATAGCATTTAACAACCATGCCTGGGTTATCGATCTTTATGCATTCTATTTCATTTTTGACAACTTCCAATTTTTGTAGCTTCATACTTCACACATTCCATGTTCCAGTTATTAATGGATGTTTCCAGCTATTTTTCCACATTTTGAGTTGTGCCTCATCAGCAAATGAAGGTCTTGAAGTCTACTCCATTCATTCCTGTCACCAAGAATGGTCAACTCCGCTTTAATGAGGCCGCTCTTCCCCAGTCATATTTTGAGAGCCTTCCAAACCTCAGGGGCTTGTCTTTCAATACTGTTATCTGACAGTATTCTGGTGCTGTTCAGTGTGTTTCAGTATTCAGTATCTGGTGCTGTCTGACTGGGTTCCACTGGTATTCATAAGGTTTTCAGCAGCTAAGCATTGAGAAGTAGTCCGTCTGTCTTAGTCTGGAAGCTCAGCTGAAACCTGTCCAGCATGGGTGTTCCTGCTGATATTTAAAATACTGGTGGCATAGGTTCCATTATCACAGCAACATGTAAGCCACCACAATATGACAAACTGACAGACAAAAATGGTGGATTCTTGCACTACTTAGAAATATATTCATAATATGGTTCACATATCTTGAAATCATATTAATGAAATAATACTGTGCATATTATTATGTTGCTTTTTTTCTTTTTGTTTTACATTATGTTTTTGAGATTTATCTATGTAGATAATTATAGCTCTCATCCATTCATTTTCACTAGTGTATTATATTTCATTGTAAGATTATATTAAGAACATTTCATTTTACATAGCTTAAAAATATAAAGTAGCTTTTGTATGGGATTTGATAAGTAAAGAAGTTGTATATTTCAGAATATTTCTTTCTTTTTTTAAATGTTTTATTGTGAATTTTGTGACAGTTTACATGGGAGAACATTAGCTTTACATTCATCCTATTGTATATTGTTTCATTGCCATAGTTACAATCCCCTCCATGCATCATCA